GAAAACAATTTATTACCTTGGTCATGGATCAACACTTGTCCAAGCCAAGTAAACCAAATCCAGTATTCAAAACAAGAAAATCGAAATATTGTCTCATCAAAACTGGAAATTGTTCTAAAATCATGATAAACTAATCAAAATTTAAAACTAAGAAGCTATCTCTGGCCACTCAAATACTTATAGTGCACCTTCAAGCTCCATTTCCAAGCTAGCTTCACTTGTTTGCAGTTCCTGCACAACATCACTATGTTAAGCACTGCAATTTGGTGTCTCATACCTAAGTGAATGTTTAAAATGTTTATAACATTATACCTGAGGTTGATGCTCCATTCTTCTTGAGGAAGTCATGGTATTTCTGGCAATTTCGCTTCCAATGCCCCTTCTTCTTGCAGTAAAAGCATTCACTTTCACTTGCAGACTTGGGCTTTGGAGTCGTCTTAGGCTTCTCAGGAGCCTTGGAAACTTGCTTGCCCTTGCTCTTGGCACTAGCCTTTTGCCCCTTCTTCTTGAACCCCTTTCCCTTTTGAATCATAAGAACTTCCTTCTTAGGTTCCTTAGGGATTTGTTTTTCAACACTAACCAGCATTGCATGCAATTGATTCATAGTCTTTGCAGTGGCAGTCATGTTAAAATTCATGATAAACTGGTTGAAACTTTCTGGTAGTGAATGGAGAATGATGTCTGTTGCCAAATCATCACTGTATGGGTGCCCCAGTTTTTCCATACTTTGAATTAGGCCGATCATTTTGAAAACATGATCATGAACTGTGGCTCCCTTCTCCATCCTACAATCCAGAATCTCACGATGGAGCTCATACCTTTCAACTCTAGCTTGTTTCTTAAACAAAGCTTTGAGTTCTTGCATGATTGAGTAGGCATCCTGGCCCTCAAAACGCTTTTGAAGACTAGGCTCCATAGTAGCAATCATTAAAGTTTTATTATGAGTGAGAAATGCAAGTTATTAGGATTGAAGCAAGTTATGTAATTTAAGTTGTATATGTTTTGAGAAATGCAAGTTTTATTATGAGTGAGAAATGCAAGTTTTATTATGAGTTTTATTAGGATTGAAGCAAGTTATGTAATTTAAGTTGTATATGTTTTGAGAAAGCATATTACATGAGAAATGCATTAATTTGCAGAATTATGTTTAAAATAGAAATTATTATTTCTATTTAATTATGGTTTTGGAAATTAAATAAAATGTCCAAAATAGTTATGAATTGATGGGCTCATCAGGTTGATGACCTGGTGAATTGAAACCCCACAGGTGAACAAAATTCATATATTATTTAAAGTTCCTAGTTCGAGATCATTAAAGTGGACATAAATGATTTTAATAAATGAACTAGCATGTAAGATTGATTGGATAGCGCAGTTTTATGGGCTATAGGGGCATAGTGATGCTCGGTCAATCACTTGGATATGCATGAATGATGCATGATCGAACTATTGACCTACTTTGAAGTTCAAGTTTAGAGCTTCCGTATATATTAGTGGATTCCTTTGACATGAGTGGAACATTGATTTCATTCAATGGATAATATGACTGTGGTACACTCAAACGTCTAGCCGTAACTGGAGATTATAAAGGGTGTTTCCCGGTTATTTCAGAAGTTAAGTGGGAGTCATGTTACCACAAGATTGGATATAGTCTACCTATTAAATTAGGAAATGTGTCATGGCCGCTTGAAGAGGGAGAATTCAGAAAATACGTGGCCGCGTTCAAATGCATTACACAGTAATCATTTGGTTTTGTAATTCTAACTCAGATTTCAAGAAACGATTTGTAGATTAATATGATCTCGACATGTGATGCAATCATATTATCAAATCGACACATATATTGACTTAAGGAATTTGAATATTGCACCCTTGTCTCAGACAAGTGGGAGATTGAAGGAGTTATGTCTTCGTCGTGTGCAATTACTAGATATATAATTGGATCAAATTATGGAGATAATTAAGTTCGTACATTTGGGTCGTCGTTTTGCCATAGCTAGAGGTACTAACGATCTTTGGACTAGTAAAATAGCCCAAAGCCCAATTAGACGGATCCTATAAGGTCACACAAAGGGGCTAGATCGAGCATTAGAGGACGAGGCCCATCACGGGCCTTATCACTCTAGGTGGCCGGCCATATGGAGTGGACAAGGGAGTTTTGGGCTTCGTGCCCTAGTCTAATTATAATGAGATTATAAATAGACTAGGTGTCTAGGTTTACAGTAGGAAAGCAATTAACTGATCAGTGTGATCAAACCCTAATTAGCAAACACGAAACCCAACCCCTCTCATAGTCCTTTCTCTCACGGCTCTCTCCTCCTCCTAGGCGCCAGTGGTGTGTCGTGGTGGTGGTGGTGGTGGTTCGTGCGGTGGTCGGTTGTCCGTAAAGGTGGTGATCGCGGCTCTCCTCAATCACTCGACCAATCTAGTATTGGTGGACGACTCGTTCGAATCTCGTGGACTAAGTAGAGGAGCAACGCTTGGGGCACTATTCTCTCCCTGATTTGCCTGTCGAATAGCTTCGTGGAATTCACGCGTCAAAGGTATGATTATGTGTCTTGTGTGTTATGCATGTGATTCTTGGGATTGGTACTAGATTGAATATGATTCATGTTTATTTCCGCTGCGTAGTACCTATAAACCCCTACACTTTGACCATACAATAAATATATACTTAATTTAACTCTTAAATTTGAGGATGATGCTCCTTTCTTTTGCAGATCTGGAACGACTTGGTCTCCCTAGACAAAGTGTTTTATCAGCAATAATAAGGTGGTCTAAATTGCATTTAAGGTGATTTGAAATCGGGTCAGGAACAATTTGGGTTGAATTTAGGTAGGGTCAATAACAAGTCGTGTTGATTTCGAGTCGGGTTAGTAATAGATTGGGTTGAATTTTTAGGTCGGGTTAGTATCATGTCTGATAAAATTCGGGTTGGGTCAATAACAAGTCGGGTTGATTTGCACCAAAAAGTTGCTGAAAAATATAAGTCGGATTTTTTTTTTTTTTTTTCAAATTTTTACATTATAAATTTATTATTTTTGTTTATATATGTACTAGTATTACGCTCTCCATCCACAAATATGTTTTCATGCTATTATTTTGTGTTGTAAGAAAATTTTCTGCACATCTAGCTAATTTGATGTCGATCAATTCAAGACAACAGTTAATCTTAGGAAAAAAAATTCCTCCTCATGAGAAAGTATCAAGTTTTTTTTTTTTTTTTTTTTTTTTTTCATCATGAGGATTGAGGACATCCAAATCTTAGACATAATTCAAGAAGTTCATGTTGTCCTCATCTCATGTTTCATGCACGTACAGTCTTACATCCTTTAATTATGTATTCCTTTGTAATTTCTTCCCTACACTTCGACTAGTTATTAATAGTCTAATAATCTGTTAGGTGAAGTGTCCATGTATCATTGTTTTACTACTAAATCTAATCTATTGTGTGAGTAATAAATTAAACCTTTTAATTTCTGTATGTAACTTTGCAATAACCGAAGTGTGTCTATCCTAGCTTACTAATAATCTAATCTATTGTGCGAGTAATAAACCTTTTCTAAGGTTCCTCATCTTATGTTAGCCTACTCAAGTAGAGCTTAGCGCCTAAGTATCCTACGCATACACAACACGATTGAGTGATAATCGTAATTCCGTTCGAAGTACTACACACATTCATTATCTTCATCTGTCGTATACTTGTTATTTCGTTGACTTGAGGTAATTTAGCTAATCAAGTAATCATTGCTTGCTTCATTCTCACAGTATAGTTACGTTTAATGGTTGTTCTCTACATATAGAAGTTAAATAAATATTTGTATGTCAATGTTTTTGGGTCAACCAAAATGTTCTCGTTTTAATGCAAGATATATACAGTATCAGACATGTTAAAAAAAAGAATTGTATGAAAATTATTGAAATTATACAACATTCGTTAATTATTACTCCATATATACAATAAAGGATCAGAATATATTATGTTTTACAAATAATACCTCTTTGTTGCACGCAGAGTAATAATTAACTAAGGTAGTATATCGCTTTAAATTAAATTTGCTACAACTATCATAATAAATGCTTCTTTGCTTACCAAGTTATCAAGTTATCTCAATTTTAGGTGACACAATATACGAAGTATGTACGTATAACGTATGAGCCAAGGTCAATGACTTAAACATCAAGAGAAGAGAAAGATTTCTTACTATCTCTTAGCTTAGTGAATAATTTTGCATCCTTGTAGCAGATTTCTTCAATTGTAACAAATTTTTAAGGTTATACTAACACCATATATACTGTACTTCGATTTCTTAATTCATTTCATATTATTTGACCAATCAACCGATTTTTCTGTTGTCTTATTAATGATTGTATCATTTAATGTATCGATGAACTCGTACTTTTCAGATTCTCGTAATTAAAATTTATATTATATATGTTGCTTAACTAATGACGTTTTGATTTATGAGAGAAATATATATAGGCCCTGTTTGGGAGAAAGCTGAAAACTGAAAGCTGAAGCTGATTGAGTTAGCTGATTTTGACTAGCTGATTTTATTAACTGATTTGACTAACTTATTGTATTAACTGGTTATATAAAAGTGTTTGGTAAATAGCTGATAGCTTAAAGGTGATCGAGTATGTGAAATGATCAATAAGCTAATTGTGGGGTAGGTAGTTTAGATAGGATATTAAATTAAATGAGGTTATAAGTGTTATTTCACAATAATTAATGAATAAGCTAATTGAAAAAGCTCCTAAAATGAGCTTTTTCAAAAAGAACTTATTTAGTGGAATAAGCTCTTTCAATAAGCTTTCTACCAAACACTTATATTAGCTTGTTTGACTAGTCAATCAGCTAAAATTAGTCAAATAAGCTAATATACCCCCAATAAGCTTACTACCAAACAAGGCCATAATGTTTTTAATTACCGATCATCTATATAAATAGAGGTCGGGTTTGCAATTGAAAGAGAGCCACATACACATGATAGACTTAACAATGGAAAGAAAAGTAGGCATCATAGGAGCAGGAATTAGTGGTCTATTAGCATGTAAATATGCCATTTCTAAGGGTTACAATCCCATAGTTTTTGAGTCACGTAGCACCATTGGTGGTGTTTGGATCAAAACTTTGGAGGCTACAAAGCTTCAAACTCCTAAACAACTTTATCAATTCTCTGATTTTCCTTGGCCTTCTTCTGTTGAAACAACTTTCCCTAATCAAAATCAACTGTTTAGTTACATTCAATCTTATGCTAAACATTTTGATTTGCTTAAACACATCAAGTTTAACACAAAGGTGGTGAGTATAAAGTATGATTGTTTTAATAATGAAGATATTCTATCTTGGCCTCTTTGGGGTAGCAATGAGGGTAATAAATGGGTTATTACCATGCAAGACCTTACTCAACCAACTCGAGTGAATCAGGTAAGTAAATATTATTTATCGATCTATAACTATCTTATTTAAAATATAAAGATCTCGTGTGTCTGAATGCTCTCTTAGCTTTCTACCAATAATAATAGTCACATATTTTGCACTATTTTCAAATGTATGAAAAAAGTTGTCACTTTTCTGAAAGTAATAATGGTTTCTGATTGGTATATTTTCTGACAATAATACATGAATACGTTAATTGATTTGTGAATGATCGACTAGCTAGGGTGACAGTTTTTCATAGTAATGACCAATTTCAATAATTTATACAGGTTATGCAAGTAGATTTTGTGATATTGTGTCTTGGAAGATTCAGTGATCTACCAAATATACCAAAGTTTCCCTTAGGCAAAGGGCCAGAGGTTTTTGAAGGGAAAGTGATGCATTCTATGGACTATTCTAACATGGAAAATGAAGATGCTAGAAATTTAATCAAAGGGAAGCGAGTTACCGTAGCTGGCTTCAAAAAATCTGCATTGGACATTGCTATGGAATGTTCAGTTGCTAATGGTAAGACCAAAATCGCTTACATATGCTTAATTGCATAGTCTTAATTTGCCCATATATAAGTTAAAACCATATCATCGTGAGATCAGGACAATATGTTACACTAAGAGTTATGTTAATATGTTACGTTAAGAGTTACAAAGTCTTAAATAAAATTATCACGCAACAATAGTCTTAAATAAAATTATTACGCTTGAGATCAAAATGACTTGTATTATGGTTTTATGACGGACAACACCAAAATGAATGATCATGCATGTTTTTGTCTTCTTTAAATGTGATGTTGATTATTGCAGGAGTAGAATTTCCATGCACAATGATATGTAGGACTCCTCATTGGAATGTAGACGAGTCCTTCACTTGGAAAAACTTGTATTTGAACCGATTTTCCGAACTCTTGGTACATACACCAGGAGAAGGCCCTCTAATTAATCTCCTAGCCTCATTGCTCTCTCCTTTGGTATGTACTCTTTCTTCGAAGTTAGAGTTCATATCCTTGATTATAAAAAATTGAAAAAGTACATAATGTCACGTAACATCTACGTAAGGGAGTACTAATCATATGGTTGTGATTACATGTAGAGATGGGGATTGAGCAAATTAGTGGAGCGCGAAATTAAGAAGAAACAACCTCTAGAAAAATTCGACATGGTACCGGACTACAACTTCTTACAAGAGATGAACTCATGTATGATTGTAAGAACTCCAAAAGGGTTTTACAATAATGTTGAGAAAGGAAGCATAGATTTGAAAAGATCAACAAATTTTAGTTTTTACAAAGAAGGTGTTGTACTTGATGATAGTAGTGTTGGACATCCCACACAATTAATTAAAAGTGACTTGGTTATATTTGCTAATGGATTTAAGGGAGATCAAAAGCTCAAAGACATTTTTGCATCTCCCAAATTTCAAGAGTGTATTACCGACTCTTTCAATGAAACAGCTCCATTATATCGGTTTGTACTATTTCTCAATTTTGTATTGTATTATGATGTACTGTACTAGTTTTATATGCACGTGATGTGTAAGTCAAACAGTAATATCATGCAGGTAAGTAAGGGCCTGTTCACTTCAGCTTAATTTTAGTTCAGCCCAGTTGAGTTCAGCTCTTAATTTCCTTCTCATATAAAATATTTATTTTAACTCTATTTAGTTCAGCTCCAATCAGTTCAGTTCAGTTCAGCTCAATTCAGTAAATGTGAACATGCCTTAAGAAATTTTTTTGAAATAATGTTGCATATAAATTGATAAATATTTTGTGACATACTTGTAGGGAATGTATCCATCCAAGAATTCCGCAATTAGCAGTAATTGGATCTACAGAGAGCATTGCAAACTTGTACACTTCGGAGTTAAGGTGTCGTTGGTTATTCGAGCTACTTGATGGTAAATTCAAATTGCCAAGCATTGAAAAATTGGAGAAAGAAGTCTTAAAATGTGAGAAAGTTATGAAGAGATACTCTGGCAAATATTACAAAAGATCTTGTATTGGAGCAGTACACATCTGGTATAATGACCAGCTTTGCAAGGACATGGGCTTGAACCATAAGAGGAAAACGGGACTTTTGGCTGAGTGGTTCGAGCCATATGGCCCGATGGACTATGCTTGAAATGTAGCCTTGTCGCCTTGACTATAAGAGTCTTGGGTCAGGTTATGTTGAACGTTTAGCATTCAATGTTAGTTGTCGCATCTGCCCATAGCCTATACTAAAGGAGGGCAACAGATCTTGGTGATGAAGCATGATGACCCTTTTGTTGCTGTTTTGTTGCTAAAATACATTAGACAATACCTTTGAAAACACTAGGATTCGAGTTTTAAGCCTTTTTCATTCTGTCGTGCTTGGCATTTTGGTAAAGAGTTGCTGTAGAAGTAAGGATTTGATGGTAAAGGGACAAGAATAACTTACAACATCCAAAGAATTTTATTAGTTCCAGCTTTGAATTATCTACAAGTGATTGATTATATACTTCTCAAGTATTTTGGTATGGTGTAAGTATGCTAGTTTTAACATAAAAGTCCGTTCTTTCTAAGTACGACTGTTGTAACATGGAACATGTTGCACAAATTCTTGATTAAGGCAAACTTTGATTTACTTATTGTAAGAAGATTTAGCCTAAAAGTATCTAAAGTTATTATTTTGCTAACATAAGATTTAACCTAAAATATACTGTATTTGTAGTTTCCATCTGAATTCCAAATGTTTAGGCAAGGAACAAAAGAAAGGATAATGAAGTTTGAAGCCTAATTTCCAATGAAAATAAACTTTAGTTCATATGGTTACTGAATTATACCAGCAGACATATGGTTACTGAATTATACCAGCAGACAGGCTAAATTTGACAATTCACAATAAATTGCAATTTACGGCAAGTTCAGAATGACAAACTTACAGTTGATGAAGTGGTCTGCTAGATTGTTATCACTGGCTCTTGTTGTTTGTGGAGTTGCTAGATGAGAGTCGAAAGTATGGGTGCAACAAAGACTTGCTACAAGGGCCTCATCCGAGAAACTCGGCTAGACCAAAGTGAATGAAGGATCATGTGAAATAAGTCATTCTTCTGTGGAGTTTTGTGCCATTTGAAATGCCTTTGCACCATTGTCAAACTGTGGTGCATATCTAGATACCTGTCTTCTGAGATAGATAGTAAAATGCTCCTCAGGTTTCGGATGTCTTTTTCCTGCACGAAAACAGCAAATGTTTCCCAATCTAGCACCTCGAAGAAAGGGGGCACATAATTGTCAGCAATTATCACCGGAATACACCCGTACAAAATGGACTCCACCACCCTAGGGGAGTGAACTTGGTATCCCCTGGCACAAATGCAATACTTGCTGCTTTTCATGTACTCTCTGTACATTGTTTCTCCTTCTATATCAAAGGGCAAAGGACCGAATATCTTCATGTCTGATACCTTATCCTCCCAATACTTTAGCAATAATGGTCGGAGATATCCATGCATTTTACCAGCAAAGAAGGCTAATATATCTCTGTCTGAAGGTGGTTTTCCTCCCATATCCCTTGAAGGGTCATCTTCATTGTGAATAAATGTTACCGGTACACTAACATCCTTGCCTATACTAAATCCTCTTGCTGCATTGGCATTGCACAAAGCTCTTATGCAGCTGCTCATATGCTTCCTCGTTATACGTAAAGCCTAAGGATCACATTTTTGTCAGTAAAAAAAATGTTCACCAAAAAAATCCCTCACATACAACAATGTTCCAAATACAAGAAAATTTTCCTACATTTGTGTTACCTTGTTTGATAAACAAAAAGTCAAAAACTGAAGCACCGAGAATAGACCGAACAACAAAGCGAAATTAAGGTACAAAGGGATAGGATAAAACATACCCAATCATGACAAGCAACAAAAAAGTGATCTGCTCCCCCGTTAGCATTCCAATAGCTGTATTTATTCTTGATCAAATCCACATAATCTTTAAGATGATCCTCCAACTTCTTGGGATTATGAGACTTCTCAGCATTTAAGGTCCAGCGTAAAGTTGTGGAACCGAAGGGTAAATAATATAGATGAGCTTTCTTAGGGTCCTCTACAGTGAAGTGTGAACTTTTCTCTATCAGTTCCATAAACCACCCTTCTCCTGCATATATTCCAGTCAGCTCTGGTTGGTGAAATATGGGCTTCTGCCCTTCTTTGTATACATAAATTTTGAATATCTGTTCCATCAAGTCATAGCTCCTACATACACAGTCCTTTCGGTAAATAATGCAATAAGATATTGCACATTTGTGTATATAGGCAAATAGACTATGTATTATACAAATTGCTAATTACATAATTTCATACTTATGATTGAAACTTTTAAATAATTATTACACAGGGCTAGCTGCATAATTAAGCATATATAGAGCTAAAAAAAATAGTTTAGTAATAATAGCATTAAATTTCTTGTAATAGAAGTAGACAAATTGGGAAAATCAACAACAGTCAGACTCAATTGTGGCCAAGTCTACAAGAAGGCCACTGTCCAATAGGCCTCAATAATCAAACAGAGAAAATGTGTCCTCTAATTTTTTAATTCTACCAAGATCAAATTCATCCTGAAGCATACGCATCAACTTCGTATGCCCTCATCAGCATGCTCTCATAAGGAGAGAGAAAAAAAAAAAAAAAAGATTCTAAGCACTTGGCAAAAAGACATGAACACATATATCAATGAAGATATCTTCAAACTGGCTTACCTTTTGAATATAGAGACATTCCGGAAAAGAGGAGTGTGCAAGTCTGCAACACTTCTAAAAATGGGGGCGTCCCTAATCTGTATACTAGCAGATTGAAGCTCGTTATCACGTATTGCTGACCATTCCTGCCTCTGTTATAGATCAACAAATAAGCATTTCATTAAGTTGCAAGACACAAGAAACTCTACTTAGTTGTAAGATAATAATAATAATAATAATAAAAAAAAAAAAAAAAAGAGCCCATAATACCACAGAATTGATATACTTGGGACTGGTAAGCAGCATGGATTTCATCTGAGAGAAGGTAATCAAGCTAACCCTCCTCATCCTTCTTAAATACTTCTCAATGTTGAACGATTCATTCAAACTACCCTGCAACTCCACTGGCCAGTTTGAACTGTTCACCTTTGAATTGCTTACGGATACAAAAGTATTTGATCTATCCATGGGAGGTGAACTAGCTCCAGTTAAATTATTTGTAAAAACAGATACACTGCTATACTCCACATTTAAGTCAGCAGTATGCTTCTTCTTGTTGTTCTGAGTAGTTTTATTCTGCAGGATATATGATTGATTTGCCCCGTTCTCCATGCTTATATCATTTGTTGTGACTGAAACATTCTTACTGAAAACATCCCTTCCACTTCTTTTGTGATAAGGCTCACCCTCTTCTATCGGTTTACTGGTACTGATATCAACTCTGTTCCCTGTGTTGAAAGTACTATTCATCATCGAATTTCCAGAACATATACTTTTGGGCCACAATTCTGATAAATTGTTTCTCCCAGAAGGAAATTCCCAAAACTGATACAAAACTGTCATGGCTGCTAAAAATACCACCACAAAAAGAGGAGCTACTGGTCTCCCAGGATAACATAGTTTCATGAATTGGGCCATCATATTTGACCTTGAGATACTATGTATCAGGAAACCCCAACATAGTGAACATACTCAAATTAAATCCAAGCAATCTCCTGAATAAACAAGTGGATACAGACAAGGCGATTAGCTAAACGAATTGATGTTAATTTCTTTTACCAATCTAACCCAACATATCGCTCTCTCCATACCACAAAATCAACGAAGAGAAATATAATCTAGCATACATAATACATACTTGCATAACTAACCTCACTTCTATAAATGGAGTTTCAAAATAGACCCGGGAATAATGAAAAATCTTATACAGTACAGTGAAAGCAGGGGGTGAAGAGGAAGATCTTCAAGCTAAAGAGGGAGAAACATAAGCAACTTCAACTCATAAAATATTCCATATGAGATTGCAGAATAATATAGTAATTTTCAGTATCAAACTATCAAATCATGAGAGTGCATAAAAAGTGCTAGTTTGTTGACTTTCTGCAGTCCACATGAGAGACCAAGTTTGAGACTGACAGTGTGAAGTACTATTTTATACTCATTATGGTTAATACAAAGTTAATTAGAGAATCTCAAGGAATATTAATAGATTTATTGTCCCATTATCTTGATATATGAGCACTGTAATTAACAGTAACTAATAAATTAATCTCCTCTTTCCTCTCCCCTTAGGCCTTTAACGGCAATGTAATAATATAACTTCTCCTCCATTTTCTACCCCAAAATCTTTCACCTTCTTTCTCGTCTCTTCTTATCTATGCAACTTTGGTTATGAGCTTATGGTAATGGCACAGCCATATATGGCAGCATCCTTCAACTATCATGGATAAGGTACGGAAATAGGGCTCCTTCAGCTGTCAACAGCCAGTTAGCAGGACTCAGATGATAAACTCACTTTACTGTCCTAGTCTACGATGACAACAACAACAAAAAAAAAAAAAAAAAAAAAAAAGCACAAGAAAAGACCATTTTTAATCATCTAAGCTTCAAACATCTAGATAATAAGGCATTCGTTCATAGCTGCTACAGTGAGAACAACAAAGAGAAGCAGCTAAGGATGAAGTTGAATAAAATTTCTTCTACAAGTAATAAATAGATCAGCAATTCATCCAAGGTGAATTTAACTCATTCCCTTGTTCAGAAACCACACACAAAATAAAGCTACTCTGATTTGAAAAGATATTGTATGATGAGGCATGATCTTATTCATGTGTGCAATGTTGTTTAACAAACAGATCAAGGATATGCCCCAAGTACTCTGTAATGTAAAAACAAGTCAACCAAGCAAGATCATGAACCATATATATCAAATATCATGGTCAGATCAACCAGGCCAGATCATGAGGATACCAGATTCATCGCATCAGTAAAAGGAAGAACTATTAGTCTTTGAAACGTACTACAAAAAGTCTAACCACAAAATGGAGTAATAAATAGAAAATAGTTGCTAACTTACTGTTTTTGAATATGCAGACAAGTCATAGATTCAGCTTCAACTAGCAACAAGAGATTTTAAGCAGGCCTTATCTGAGAAACTCGGCTGTACCAGAATGAGTGAAGGGTCATATGAAACAAGTCATACTTTTCTGGTGTTTTATGCCAAATGAAATGTCGTTGCACTTTTCTAATCCTTTGCTGCATATCAAGGTACCGTTCTTCAGGGATGGAAAGAAGGATGTTCCTCAGATTTGGGATGTCTTTCTCTTGAACGAACACAGCAAATGCCTCCCAATCTAGCACCTCAAAGAAAGGGGGCACATAATTATCAGAGATAATTACAGGAATACACTCATAGAATATGGATTCAACAACCCTAGGGGTGTGGACCCCATAACCTCGGGCACAGATGCAGTACTTGCTGCTCTTCATGTACTCCCTGTAGACTGCTTTGCCTTGGATATCCCGCTGCATTGGACCAAAGATCTTCATATCTGGTACCTTATCCTCCCAGTATTGCAACAATAATGGACGGAGATAGCCATGCAATTGTCCAGCAAAGAAGGCTAATATATTTCTCTCTGAAGGTGGTTTACCTCCTATGTCTCTTGTGGGGTCATTTCCACTGCGAACATAAGTTACAGGTACACTGACATCCTTGCCTACGTTAAAGCCTCTTGCAACATTGGCGTTACATAATCCTCTAATGCAACCGCTCATATGATTTCTTGTTATACGTGGGCCCTGAAAAGGTCATTGTTTTATCAGGGGGATAGAGTGTGAGTTTGGATATTCAAGTCAAGGCAATATACTATACAGAATTACAGTTTGTCTTTTTTAAGTTTGGGGTTTCTATACACATTCACTTTCCGTTCATTTTACTTATGGTACTTAAACTAGCAGACTTTGTAAATTTGTATTCTTGATTGTTACCTTCAGCCTTCCTGAATTTGAAAATTGACATTCACACCTCAAATTATTCTGTGTACATCACTGAGATAGGGTACAAGGGCTGGTTAGTGGGTAGGTACAAGGGTAGAACTTGCTAATATTGAAGATTTTGGCCTGTTCTCGGTCTATTTTGAAGTGTACAAATGCAATATACTACCTCAATTCTCAAACTCGGTATTCAATATTTTAGGACAAATAAAAATGCTTTCACTTAAAAACTAGAAACAAAAGTGCTGCATTTAATGCAGAGATTTGGCTTGACTAAGAAAATTAATGAAAATTAACAAAAAGAAATCTAGAACACTCAAGTAACATCTAACAGATATACAAAACAATGACCTTTGTTTATATAGAGAAAATTATAGAGCTTGGAAGTTCAAAGACATACCCAGTCATGACAAGCAACAAAAAAATGATCTGCTCCCCCAGTCCTGTTCCAAAAGCGGTATCGCGTTTTAATCAGTTCCACATAATTTGTGAGATAATGCTCCAAGTTCTTGACACTATTTGACTTGTTCTCGTACAGGACTGTGCGTAGTGTTTCAGAACTGAAAGGCAAGTAATAAAGATGGGCCTTTTTAGGATCCCTTACAGTGAAGTGTCTGCTTCCCTCTATCAGTTTCATAAACCATCCTTCTGCTGCATATAATCCCCGTAGTCTTGGGTGATGAAATATTGGCTTCTCCCCTTCTTTGTATACGTAAACTTTGAGTAGACGTTCCATTAAGTCATAGCTCCTGCAGAAACAGTTACACTAGCACTTCAAATTTGGCACTGGTAAACACAAGAAATCCTTAGGCTTATAAACAGAATAATGCAGGATATTTCATCTCTGGTTAATATTTGGTATTCCGGTGGACATATTTAATGTCTGGTGGACAAGCAATTTCTACCAATATCTGCTTCAATCTTTGCTTCACAAAAGTCTTTGAATTAGTAAGAACGTAGGCACATAAAAGTACCAAAGTCATCTGTTTGCAAGCAATCAAGCATCCTTGGCTTCTCAAACAATTACAAAATTCTATACACAGACTTACCTTTTGAACACAGAGACATTTCTGTAAAGAGGAGCATGCAAGTCAGATATATTCCTTAAAACAGGAGCATTCCTGATCTGTAGGCTTGCAGAAAGAAGTTGGCGATCACATGTTGTAGATCCTCTTCCTCTTCGCCTCTAGATTCAGCCAAAAGAAACAACAGATCAATGTGCAACAACTAATTTTTGGTGTTCAGAGAGCCACAAGGGCGGGTGATGAGAATTGATCTCAGTACAGGGAAGGAAGCTCTAATCAATTGAGCCATCCCTCACTCTCACATGCCTACATATACTAACTGAATATATTAAAATTATAAATAAAAAAAATAAAAAAAAATAGCTCTACCATACCACTAAGGTTGTTAATGCAGGTCCATCAAGCAACATTGATTTCATCTCAGATAAAGTAATCGTAGCACCTCTCATCTTTCTTACAAATCTCTCAATCACAGATGTGTCATTCTTACTGTTAACCTCCAACCCCACAACCTGCTTGATTTTGTGAATTTGTGAGCTGCTCATTGATGTTGAAACAATTGATCCAGTACTCAAAGGTTCCATCTTCTCCAAAGAAATTTGACCAGAAATAGTCGAATAATTAGTCAAAACATCCATACTTCCAGCATCCTCAACACTATCTCCAGTAGAATTCTTATGCAATGCATCAAATTTCTCTGCTTTATTCTCCACACTACTAGTTTTCCTCATTATTAAATCCCTACCAGAAGCATCATCATGTTCACTTCTACTAGCTCTATCACGGTCCAATATAAGTCCACTGTCAACGCGCTCCTCCTCCAATTCACTTGCATTCTTACCACCTACTCCCTCCACCATATAAAAATCACCATCCTTAACCAAAATCCAAGAAGATGGACTCCTTATCACTGCTAGAGGCAAAGCCTCTTCGCCAGGCGACAAAGTAGATATGTATCTACCAGAGAGCAATGCCCAAAATTGAGCTAAAACTATCATAACAACTAAAAATCCCGTCATCGAAACGAGCAATCTTCGCCCATAATTGCATAATTTCATGAACAAACCAGCCATTTGTTATTCTATAGTCTATATCCTAAATAATCCAGTAAAACACCACCTTCTGATCACCTGGTAAATGCAATATCAAACTGAAGAATCAAAATAGCCACACCAACACATAAACAATACTAATTATTGAAGAACAAAGCATAATTAAACCCCATTTATAGAAAATTCAAATCAAATTTTACCAAAACTTCCCAAATTACCAAAATTTAAGACCCATAAACTAAAAGAGAAATCTTTCAGCTAAATTTTACACACCCATTAACATTTTAACATAAAAGTTGGATAAAAGTAAGCAAATTATACTTCTTACAATAAAAAAGATTGAATTTTGAGTAGCAAATTATAGTGAAGTGAGAGAGAGTGTGTACCTGTTGTACTTGTTGAGTATCATCAGCCAACATAAGCAGTGACAAATGAAAAATGTCGGTACATAGAGCAAGGTGTACAAGAAGCAACAATACGACGTCGTTTTATGGATAAAATGCCATCATACGACGTCGTTTGTACTGAAATCATCTTTCCGAATTTTACCCAAAATTTCTATTGCTGTACAAAATTTTCACTCTCCTCTGAAGTAAACACAAAAACACTCTCTTGTTCTTTCTCTCTCCTCAATACGACGACGTTTCCTTCATTCGCCGGAAAATTGAACAAAAATGGCGCCTCTGAAAGTTGGAATTCGGCGGGTAATCTGTAAAATTGTTGTTTAATGTGATTATTTTGGTGTTTTTTAATTTGGGGTTCTAAATTTGGCATATTAAATTTATTTGATTTGTGAAATTTGATTATTTGGAATTGTTGTGTATAAATTTGTGGTGTTTGAATGTTGCATAATTGAATATGAATATGAACATGAACATGAATATGAGTATGGATTGTGAGGAATTTAGTGGTGATGATGTGGTAGTGTCTTTAGAAGCTCTAGAGGTTGATAATGGAGTTAGTATTGTTGATGAATTGGAAGGAGTGTCTTCGACAAACGAGTCGAAGGCGGCAGAGTCGAGTTTATTGCCCGTGACCCCGCCGAGGGTGGGGATGGTGTTTGAGAGATGGGAGGGTGTGGATGAATATTATAAAAGATATGGGATGGATCAAGGGTTTGGTGTTAGTAGGGTGTCAGGGGCATATAGAACTGGGAAGGAGAGTGGGAAGGTTAGGAGGTCGGGCACTTGGCGGTGTGAGTGTTATGGTGTACCGGATACTAAGATGAGGAGGGAGGCAAAGAGGAGGGCTAAAGGAATGGAGATTGGTGGGAGCATGGAAGCTCAAGATCAAGGTATAAGAAAACGTAAGTCGAAGAAGTGTGAGTGTCCTGTGATGGTTTATGCTAGTTTGAATGCGGAAGGTGGGTGGGAATTGAAGAAAGTTGTTTTGGAGCATAATCACAAGCTGACCCTAACCAAGTCAAAGGTAGCGAAAGAGGGTATGATGAAGGGGGTTGGGGAAACTCGAAATAGGAAGCTATCTAATGATTTTAATGATGGGTCATGTGTCCTACAAATTCACGGGAGTTCGACGGTGAAGAGGGAAGTTGTTGAGGATGTGCCAATGATGGAGAATCACCCCCGTGTAGTAGAGCATGTGAGAAGGCTGAGAATGGAGGGTGGTGATGCAAATTCTATGATGGATTTATTTGAGAGAATGCAAGGAAACAGCCAAAATCTATTCCATGCCCATAGATTTGATGAATTTGGGGTGTTGCAGGATGTGTTATGGGTAGATGCAAGGAGTAAAGCAGCATATGAAGAGTTTGGGGATGTTGTTTGCTTTGATACAACATACTTGAAGAATGAGTATGAGTTGCCACTTGTTAATTTTGTAGGTGTTAACCATCATGGACAATTAACCTTGTTGGGATGTGCTTTAATTTCCCATGATGATGCTGACACATATGCTTGGATATTCCAGCAATGGTTGGTATGCATGGGAGGAAAGGCCCCTAATGCTATTTTGACGGATGAGGATGAAGCAATGAGGAAGGTGATTACGGAAGCCATCCCGGATACTTGTCATAAGTGGTGTATTAGGCAAATATTGCAAAAGTTGCCGAAAAAGATGTGCATGTATGCAAGGTAACAACTTTTAAGAATTAATATACATGTTATAGATGAGAATTTGCATTGTGTTTTGGTGTGTATGCAGTTATTATGGTAGTTATTCTAACTTCTGTTAGCCCCAACCTGATATGAAATTATGAATGTGTTTCATGTTAGTTTTTATATGATGTGACTGAAAAGTGAAAATAATGTATGTAGAAGAAAGTTGAACAAAAGTGTGATCTAGTAAGAGCAAATATGAAGTTCGGATGTGTTGAAAAGGGACCTAGTATTTGATGTAACTGAAACTATAAGCACCTAACCAGAAAGCTGTGTTGAAAGAAAAGTTTGGTTAACATCAAATGCTCAGATAACAAAAAGAAACAAATAAAATCGATAAAAAATTGTATGCTTGACAACATTGCTCCCATCGATTTTCTATTTGATTATGTTGTTTGTGACTTTGGCATGTAATGATCCAAAAAAAAGGGAAAATCTAGAACTCCGCTACAAATAATGATAGAGCTTAACACAGATATGTACATTTTGAAATTATAACGCTGGCTATCAAGCTTAGTAACCTGTCATTCTTGATCAATTCTGAGTGAGATCCTTTACCATGACTAATGACCACAGTAACCCAGCCAAATCCCCTGTATGTCTTGCGGGGAAGACGAATTATACCCCAATTGAGGTCACACAACCATTACCCTTGCTTAAAACCCTAAATCTTCCTGATGCTTTCTTTGGAATTGACAACAAACAGAGCTTAATTAACCTGATCTGTGAGCCAAAACACTCATCTCTATCATACTTGTTTGAAATTTTGATGAAAATATTATTTGTAAAATTGCATTAGTTATTTTAGAACCTTCTATTCAACTAAACCAAGTTTTTCCCAAAAAGGCATAAAGATGTGGCTTAATGGGGGAAAGCCTCAACAGCAAGAAATAAGAATACAGAATCAGCTTGTTCACTATATGAAAAGTAATTTCATCATGAGAAATGAAAGATGGTAATGAAAGACCTAACAATTTTGAGTAGGGCAAAGACAGAGACCGAATTCACAGCAAATTCAGTTATGTGTAAATGATAATCATTGAAGTCCAATAGTGGTATAAATGACAGGAAACCAAAACTTTCACATTTAATCTCCCTTGATTAAGTGTTGAACTACATATCTGAAATGGTTGGTTGTGTCTTTGACATTTATAGATATAATTGTTGTAGGTACCAAGAATTAGAGGATGAACTCAAGGAAGTAATTTATGAAAGTTTTACCATTGACGAGTTTCAGAGTAGGTGGGTTCGTGTTGTCGACAAGTATGAGTTGGGAGATAATGAGTGGTTGCAGAGACTTTATGAGGAGAGAGCGATGTGGGCCCCAGCATTCATGAAGGATATATTTTTGGCAGGTATGCAGAGGGTTGGAAGTATGAACAATTTTTTTGACAATTTTGTGACAAGGCACACAAAGTTGTTTGAATTTGCCGAGAAGTACTGTGCAGCAATGGAGGATAAGGTATCCATTGAGAAGGATGAAGATATAAAGTCTATGAAGTATGTAAGGAAGTTGGTAACTGGATTCAAGGCGGAGGAGGTCTTCCAAAAGGTTTATACCAATAATAAGTTTAGAGAGGTTCAAAGGGAGTGTGAGAGAGTTATTTACTGCTATGGAAAGGGGGAGGTTGCTGGAGACACAGTGGTGCATCTCATGGAGGATCGTGTTTGGATTGTTTTCAAGGGTTCAAGTGAGGAGGTCATAACTGACAGGAGGAGGTTGTACCGAGTAAGTTACAGTGTTAAGTCAAGAGAAGTGGAGTGTGATTGCAAGTTGTTCGAGACACATGGGATATTGTGCAGGCATTGTATTAGGGTGCTAGATCATCACTTGTTTGGGGAAGTTCCTGATAAGTACATACAGAAGCGGTGGCGTAAGGATGTATCCCGGAAGCATGCACGAGTGAAGGTGGCATACCATGATCCATCAAATTTGATCGAGGTGAAAAGGTATGACAGTATGATGGCTGTGTTTGAACCACTTTGTGATATTGCATGTAATGCAGAGGAGACAATGGCAGTTGTGATTAACGGGTTGAAAGATATTCAAATCTCACTAAATGAATGGCTGGGCAAGAGGAGTGTTAGTAGTATGGGTTACACTGATGTAAAAGATGCGCATACTGTTATCGATGGCATTGTGGAGAGTAATGGTCAGTCACAGATGACACTGTCATACCCAACACAAGGCACCAAGGCTTCTGTTGTGGTAGGTAGATATGGTTAGGCACATAACATGTTAGATAACATTGATGCTGACTAGAAATGGCAGAGAGCTTGTAAGTTAATATTGTAGCCTTGGATACCGTGTGCCAAGAAGTGGTTATCATGCTAAGATTTCTTGAGAATCTAAGATGCTCCTATATTTAAAAAAAAAAAAAAAAATCCAACTTTTCTAGTTGTTTTGGCATGATGTCTGTCCAGTATTAACAGACTACAAATTGCTGGTGTATAGCTCTAAGGTGCCAAATGTAAACTGAAAATCTTAATTGACTTGTAAGTTTTGTAACCAAAAAACTAAACCTGCCTTTCCTCTTATGCTATGAAAAGTTGTTAAACCTATATATGGTGGATGTGGAAATTTAGAGGGGGGGAAAAACAAATTGGAAGGGAGGCATTTGAAGCATGTAAATTTGTCAGAATAAATTGACACCCAATGACAATTTTAAAATTGGTGTTAACTCAGAGTTTGCTTATATCTTATTTTCTGCTCTCTGTATTCTTGATGTGCTCTTCCTCTTAGTGTTAACTATGTTACGTGTATTAACGGAGCCCTTCCCTTCTTTTCTTCTGTAAGTTCAGGATCTTGTCCTATGTGTGCTCATCTTATTTGAAAAGGAAAACATATTTGGAGAGTAAAAGATCTGCATCTCATGTTATATGTAACTAACATACTAACATAATGTGATTCTAGTCCTATCTGTAGGGGAAGGCTCTCGTGAGAATTTTTCTTATATGAGAATTTTTCTTATGTGAGAACACTCTTTATGTTCTAAATTTTTACTCGTATGTTCTAAATTTTAAATCTGATGTTCTAAACTTTTTTTTAGGTGTTCTAAATTAAATCAAATGTTCTAATTTATTACTCACATGTTCTAAACCATAAATTAGTTAAGCTTGATGTCATAAATTTTAAATAACTTGTTCCAAACTTTTAAATTTTATGTTCTAAATTTTAAAACGTGTGTTCTAAGATTTTTAATTATATATGTTCCAGATTTTCTAAGATTTTTTAATTATATGTTCCAGATTTTAAAGCGTATGTTCTATTTTTTTTACTCGTATGTTCTAAATTCTTTACTCACACTTTCTATATTCAATATCAGTTTGTTCTAAATTTTTATTCACATGTTCATAATCTTAAATCAAGTGTTCTAAATGTTACTCGTATGTTTAAAATTTCATAAAGCAAATTTTATAAATTTTTAATCACTTGTTCTAATTCTTAAATCAGATGTTCTAACATATTACTCACACAAATGTTCTAAATTATTACTCATATGTTCAAAATTTTAATTTGAGTCACATGTATGTTCTAAATTTTAACTCGTATGCTCTAAATTTTTACCCACATGTTCTAAATTTTAAATCAGTTCTCATATAAGTATGAATTCTCACATATGGACCTATTCTCACTGGATCCCTCTCCTATATATATATATATATATATATATATATATATATATATATATATATATATATATATATTGAATTGGTATGTGTAAATTTTATCTAAGCTTTACTTAGCAAATTAATTTTATGTGTTTATATTGTTTGTGAGCTGAAGTGGTTAATTGAAGGACACACACACACACAATCAAACAAACAAACAAACAAAACAAAACAAAAAAAATCGCTTTGTGCTAGAGCAGAGATTAAATCATGGGAAGATATTCAGCTACCAGTTGGTTCATTGGTGTATGATGAAAAAGGTATTATCCTCATTAGACTGATGCATTCATGATATATATATAAACTATATAAATGATTTTTTTTTTTTTTTTTATATTTAATTTTATTATCTCTTTCAGATATATTTGTCCCAGAACTGATAATGGAACTGATTAAATTTTGGTGTATGATGCTTGCAATAACAGTGGAGTACATCAAGAAAAACAATCCACAATAAGTAGGACATTTTTGTCAAGTCCTACACTTTGTTCTTGGATCTACAGAAGTGTAAGTCCTGCTAAAGCATCTGATTTTGAAAGCTTTTTCATGCTCTGATATTTCGGTCACTGTCAACTATCTATATCCGTTTGAGGATTCAGATACAGGAGGGAATCAGACATCTATTTTGAGAGGGAAATCAAAAACCTGCTTTTTTTTTTTATATAATTTCTATGAATTCTCAGTTAGATATGGATAAAAGATGATTGGGGAATTGGGGTAACATAGCTGTAACAGCTGTTGCTATTTGGTAAATGTCAAAACATACTATTTGCTAATTGCATCAACTTGGTTATTGAATATGACATGGACATCAAATAATAGCTGTGATCCTGGTTTGGAAAATACACACACAACTTATGAACATTTAGCTTAATAATATGCTCTATTTATGGGTGTAATTTGCCACCTGTATGAGCTTTCACTTCCTCTTCTGATACATAGTGTTTCCAGAACCAGTGATTCCTCCACAAGAAGATGACTTCCTCTATCGGAACCTGTTTTGTCTCAGGAAGGAAGAAGAACACGAAGCTTGTCATAATCAAGATCAGCCCAGCAAACAGAAGGAAGATTCCGAACTTGAGGTGACAGAGAGCCATAAGGAAACATTGAGCAATCAAGGCAGTGAAGATCATGTTGACACAGACAACAATACTCTGACCAGCTGACCTTGTTTCTAACGGGAAGAGCTCACTCGGTACTAGCCAACCTAATGGACCCCATGACCTTCCATATGCCAACACAAACAAGCAAATCAAGATAACAAGGAAGTACCCAATTCCATGTGGTAATGTCTTCCCATCCCCAAAGTAGAGGCCAAGAATGATGCCAACAGTCACCTGAAATGAAAAAAAAAAAGTAAGTTTAGTGCACAGTTACTTTTCAGCAGTTCATTTTGATTATTTAATCTTCAATTTTGTTCTCTTCTGAGTACCAGAGATTTGTGTTTGTTTCGGGTTGATTTTATCTAAGAATGGTTTTGTGCTGTACAAACAATTTGGGGAACATTGGAATGTTTTTTGAAAAAATAATTATCCCCATTTGTTTCTTTAGGTAGCCAAAAATCTATTAGTATTTTGTTCTTACCATTTCAATCAGCATCTCTACACCAGCTTCAATGTAGAAGGCTCTTCTTCCAAACTTATCTACCAAAGCCATGGAAATCAATGCAGCAATTACTAGTGCTCCATTGGTAATCGTTGATGAATACAGAGAAACATTATTGTTGAATCCCAAACTCTGAAAGAAAACTGGAGCATAGAAGAGAATGGAGTTCATGCCAGTGAGTTGTTGGAATGCCGGAAGTGCTATAGCTCCAATAATCAACTGGGGGCGGTTTTTCCTCTGAAGAAGGTTCCTGAAAGGATGCTTGATAGCCCTTGCTGCGTCACTGGCATCGACAAGGTCAGCAAACTCGGCATCAACATTTGTGGTACCTCTAACTTTTTCCAACACTCTTCTTCCCTCATCTAGCCTGCCTTGTTCTACTAGACTGTTTGGGGTTTCCGGAAGGAAGAGGCCCCCGACAAACATTAAAGTTGCTGGAAGGGTGGCCAAACCCACAGAAATTCTCCATCCGTGAGGATGAATTTTTGAAGTCCCATAATTGATGAAGTTGGCTACTAGAATTCCCAAGCATGTTGTTAGTTGAAATAGTTGATTAACTGCTCCTCGGATCTTTGCAGGTGCCATTTCAGAAAGATATAGAGGAACTGCCTGTAAGATAAACAAAAATTGATAATCAGTTATCAGTACAGAGTATTGCAGTGAGTGTTTTCCAAAAGCCAGTGCATTATATGAAAAAAACTGAAGACAAATGTATGTAAGTTGGGGCTTACTTGGTTTCCAAATCCAATGCCGAAACCAAGGAAAACTCTCCCTATGATTAGCATGGCAACATTTTGGGCAGCAGCATTTATAACACCTCCAATAAAGAAACTGGCACCGCCAACCAGAATACTAGCTCTCCTTCCCTTGGTTCGAGTCAAATAAGAAGCCCCGAATGTAGACACCAGAGCCGCATAGTACAGGGAAGATGTGAAGAGAGTCAGAAGCTGGTTGTCGTATTTGCAGTAGTCAGTCTCAAGCAAGTGTGCATGCTTCCTTCTGTAAACCTTTGGGAAGAATTCTTTCAAAAAATCGTCCATTGAAGTGACTCCTCCTATCAAAATATACTTCGGTAAGTTTACAATAACTTTGTAGTGGTTGATTTTTATTGATAGCTATTGGACACAACCTTATAAGAAAAAAATGAAGAGGAAAAAATAACATTCATAAATTATATCTGAAGAGAAATTTTACTGGTAAGCTTGTTGTCAGTATTCAGTAGAGGTGGTCAATGTAATTAGCCTCTCTGGAATCAGCCAAACATTAAAAGTCCTAACCAACATATAGGAACAAACCGGATCAGGTTCGTTGAAGAGCTGGCCGTGCTTGTTAGTAATTATTGCATGGTCCAGAACCAGTGCTCACTTTCCTCCTAATAGTTTGGTTAAATGGTTACCAATTTATGTGAGAATGGTAATCATCAATTCTTTGGAGAGTTAGGAGCAATGGTTCGGGACCATCCAATAATTTCTCCCTGCTTGCACCAACTCACTTACAGTTTGATTTTTTAGAATGTCAATGTGAAACTCCAACATTATGAATTTACGATGAATGTTGGCTTTATTCCAATTTTTAATTTTATATGATCCCACCCTATTATTGTCGTTGCTTCACAAAAAGTTTATTTTTTTTTTGAAAAATCACAAAAAGTTCTTAATCACTAATTAGTTCTTATTTTACATTCCAATTTTTAAACCATACTTTTACTTCACTAATTAGTTCAAAGGTCAAAGGTCAGGTCTGATTTGGCTCGATCCGGTTGCTGTTCAAACATAATATGAACTGATCCGATTATCAGCTAGCATATAGCCAGGCCTGATCGAGCCTCTTCAGTGACCTCCAGCCGACTAGCCGTCTGCCCGTCTCAGACAGCCCATCACCATCTCTAACTCCCAAGTAGTATTTTTACATTGGATCATTGAATGTGGTGTGTGTAAATATCATATAGTCAAATTTGTGTAATGCAAGAATTCAAGTGATATAAAAACCAATTACTCATATTGTTTTCTTTTCAATTCTCATATTAAAATCAATTTTCTTTTTCTACTTTATTTTCAGATAGCAAATAAGTAATGATAAATCTATCTCCGATAACAGACTAATAACCCAATCTCGGGTATGAATTTTCACTGACTAAAAAAGGGCATTTTTGTCCACTTTTTTCTAATATTTTTCCCATCTTTGAAACTGCACAAGCGTTACCCTTTTCACTCTGTATTGCAGAAACAAAGAAGAAAAACAGAACAGAATATGTGAACAACAGAAGAAAGAAAAACATACCAGAGACACCAAGATCATAACCAAAGAGCGATCCACCACTCGCCGCTACGACGCAAGCAAAGATAAAATACGGTGTGATCTTGTACTCGTACAAAGCTGCTCGCCCGGCTGCTGCTCCATCGACAAATGCACCCCCTGCCATTGTTTCTGATCACGGCGACAAATCTGTATGTATGTATCGCGCTCTTTCTCCTTATAATCACGACGTTGATATGTGAAAGTACTGCCTTAAACAGGTGTTATCTGTTATTAAAAACAACACAACTTCCTTCAAACTTTTCCAGGATCATTCCAAATTGTAGGGAAAAGGGGTACCCTGATAATGATTCTAAAACAACTTAGCAAAGAATTAATGAAAACTATATAGTATTATTATACTATATAGTTTTTATTTAATAACTTTGGTTTTGTTTTATGGGATAAGTTGAAGAAAGTTATGTTTTGGGGTCTTTCAATCTCACCTACAAAAACTAGTATTTTTTCTTCTTGTTTCAATGTTATGTCATGTTGTATTTATAAAGGAACATGCATAATAGGATAAGAGAGAGAAAATTAAAAAGAGGATGAAGACTTTCTACAGTTGTACTTTACTGGCTAAGATTTTGCTAACAATTTGATCCTATAATGACGTATTTGTTAATGGTCTATTTTTTTCTGTAGTAATATATTACGCGTAATCATATGTAAGGAGTTAAAACTGAAAACATTAATTACATAACATAAAATCACCAATCGTTGTGATTGTTGTATGTATTCACTTGATTTTTTTTCATATTGTTATGATTATATTACCATTTTTAGGTGATGTAGTTAATGCTTAATTTCCTTTTTTAAGATAATTTTGGATTAATTAGCTGTTTTTTTTTATAGTTGGCTTTTTTAGCTTTTGTGATTGGGAGGCTTTATCTACTTCACTAGGTCCAGGTTGGAAGTTAAATTGTTTTTTGTTTTTTAAATTATTGTTATTATTATATGTTTAGTAATTTTTTTATTATTGAATTTGTCAACTTGCTATAATTAAATAATTAGGTATCCTAAAAATATCTTTAAGTGAGCAACAACTTCTATGTATTAAGCCGAAAATACTGAAATTTAATTGGTGGTCTCTGTCAAGTTTCAAAAAGAAATGTATATATTATAATTTTGAGTCAATTATGGCAACCTCAGTCAGTGAGTGTGACTGACCTAATGACTTGTTATAGTTTTTAAATGTCTCCTTGAAGAGCATTGCATTGTTTGATTTTTACACCATTCTTGTTAAATTTGTTTCGATATATTTTTAAATATACATACGATAAAAATTATATAGTTCATGCGTTGATCCATACATCCATATGCACACGAGTACATAATATACTCGTGTTTACATGGATCAGCGCATTAATTATGATAAGGTAAGTTGTAACAAACTGAAAGGAGTAGTTTGAAATGGATATAATAATACTCGTGTTTACATGGATCAGTGCATTAATTATGATAAGGTAAGTTGTAACAAACTAAAAGGATTAGTTTGAAATGGATATTAAATATTTAAATTGATAGGTTTTAGTTTTTACTAGATTGAATTATGAAAAATGAATTGTTGTTAACGTGGAAAAGATAAGGTAGATTAGATAATTATGATTATTAAGCAAAATAAAAGGATGTGTAAGTTTTATCTTCCAAAGAAGATCCAAGTCACCCAACAAATTTATTGAAGTTCCATTTTTCTCGTGCCCCATCACCTTTTTTACTACAGTACCGCTTTTAAATCGCACCTTACAAATTAAATGGTTGGATAATGCTAATCCAACGGCCAAATTCAAATTCATATATTTTTTTCATTATTTGGTACTATAAATGGGGAATTATAAAAAATTAATTTGATACAATTAATTAAATTAATGTAATATTGATGAGATTGGATATCATATCCTCATCATCAATCCTTTAAAAATTAAAGATAATAAAAAACTATCAGGCCAATTATAATAAAACTCTATAAAATGTCATTAGTTGTATACTCGTATTTATTAAGCTTAGGGTCTATTCTCTTTAGCTTAATTTCAATTCAGTTCAGTTTAATTTTAATTTTCTTCTCTCGTAAACAATTCATTTCAGCTCTATTTAGTTCAATTCAACTCCAATCAATTCAGTTCATCTCAGTAAATCAGAACATAGCCTAATTATAACTCTTTAAAAAATTAAAAATTAAAATTAACAAAGATCTATTAAAACAATAAAATTTTCTCTTATTTCAATTTATCTAAACGTACTTATCAATCTATAAGGAAGAACTTATTAACCTTATCTTTATTTTTTATGAACTTATTATTAGCTTATTATTCTAAGGGTGTGTTCAATTTAATTACGGAGTATCACTTATCTGAAATTTATCTTATCTTATCTTATTTAAATTAATATATACACTTACTAGAACTTATCTAAACTTATTTTAATTGTAGTTTATACTCTCTAAATTTTATCAAATTTTTTTTTTTACTGAAAAAAGTGACGATAAGGAAAATAGAATGGCCCTATTATCTTATTTTAATCTTATTAGTCTTACACTTATTTTATATGAAAATATATCTGTCAAAAAAAATCTTATATGAAAATATATGTGATGAAATTAGCCTAACACTAATATACGGTATACGTAGTACATACGGAGTATTTTGGATAATGTAATTTATTATAAATTCGTATATTGACTTTTGACTTATACATTGAATAATTGAATAACATAGTCTCGCATGATTTAGGATGAGAATAGCATACTTAAAAGTCTATGCCAATAGAAAGCGATAGCCAAATCAATTAGAAGAGCAAACTTGAAAATAAATACAGCAATCATTGAATTCAAACCCATATTTTAATCAAAGAACCACAAATTAATTTTACTCACCGAAATCAAATGACATACCTCATTTGGTGGTAGCGTTTGAGATAACGATTAGCATTTAGTCAAAACACTATTATAAAATAAATTGAGAGTGTTTGGCAAGGCAGCGGTTAGCGATAGAGGTATCGTTTAGGTAGCTTTTCTCAAACTTTAAAAATAGTACTTCCTCCGTCCCTAAATTAAAAGTATCTTTCTCTTTATGCTAGAAAGAGGCTTTGTATTAAGGGACAGAGGAGTAGCGTTTAGAAGTAGCGGGTAGCGTTTGATAACTTTTTATTACTTTTTAATTAATATTTTTATGAATTTTGACATATTTTAGATTGCATCCGCTACTTTTGCCAAACACCTATACTCCGTTACCTTGACAGCTAGCCTATACCCACTACTAATTGACAGTTATTTGCTACCTTAACAGCATAAGACACACAAATTGTATGTGCAATATTTCTCCAGTTGGTCTTAATTAAAAAGATAAGAATGTACATTTTTTTTTTTTACAATGGCAAATGAAATCTACATGATGACAATTAGCATAAAGTCCCTGAAAATTACATAGTTTATCTGAATTCAATCAATATAAAAACGTTAAGAGCAACTACAATACAATCCAATGACAAGCTAATTGTCAAATTAGTTTGTCATGCCACATAAACTTTTAAGCTAATTATTTTTCTAGCTAGTTTGAACACATTTACTATTTAAATTACGAGTATTTATTTATTATATTCATATAGAAATTACTAATTTGTTTTTAGCATTTTCTTTTTGACAAGTTATTTCAAACTAATTTGGTTAGTCCCCGTTCAAAAAAAAAAATGGTTAGTCAAGTTAATTGTTTTTTTTTTTTTTTGAACCAAAGTCAAGTTAATTGCATATTCTAGCTCTAATGGTCAAGCTAGTACTATGTAGCTCGGATCTACAAGTCCCTAGCTAATATAGCTATAATCATTGGAATTGCTCTAATTAAGGAGCTTTAAAAATTATTACTTGTAGCATTCCTCATAATAAATTTTGTTACCATTTAATTAAAATAATCATTTAAGTAGTATCTATCAATTATTTAAAAATATACATCGTATATATTATAAGAAAATATATCTAGTACTCCGTATAATTTTTCCTTAATCACTGGGGGTGAGCATAACAGGGTACCCTGTAAAAATTCCAGGAACCGGAACCTGTTGCAACAGGTTCCCCAAAATGGGAACCGGAACCGAAACATGTTGAACAGGTTCCTGGAAATTGGGAACCGGACAATTCAGGGTACCTTGTATTATAATATACTCACTAACTTTTTTACGAATTTTTTAATAAAAAAACTGGTTGGTCACTAATTTATAATGTTGCAACTTGCAAATAAGACAAACTAATAGTAGTTGTCTAACAAATTTAATATATATATTTTTATAATTATAATTTTGATATTTATTATTTAAAAATTGAGTAAGAATTAGAGTATAATATGAAATTAAGTGATACTTTTATCAGGTACTCTACAGGTTCCGGTTTCAAAAAATTGAGAACCTGAACCGGAACCTGTTACAACAGGTTCTCCAGTTTGCTACCTGGAATCAGTACATCTTATACAAGTTCCGGTTTCGAAACCTGCGATTCCTAACAGGTTCCGGTTTCGATTCAGGGTACCCTGATTTTTTGCTCACCCCTATTAATCACCATGAACGCCGTAATGAAAAACCTTTGATTATCATTTCCTCCTAATGGGCCTATATACGAAGGTTCAGAAATGTATAAGTTGTTAATTGTGACGCCTTTTGTGGCTCATTCAAACTTATACGAAGTATAAATTTTTTTTTATTTTAATTTTTTTTTTTAAATATTTTTATTTTGGTGAAAGTGAGATAGTATTTGATCTGTGCATGGTGCACCCCGTAGAATTAAAAATGGCGGAAAAAACATACTAGTGTTTTCAAAGGAACATACTAGTTTTTGAAAGCGAACATACATGTATTTGACAAAAAAAAATATGTTTGTGTTTGATAAAAAAACATGACATTACCTATTTAAAAGAAAAAGGAATATTACATTACAAAGAATATAAAGTCTATAAAAAAAAATAATAATAATAATAAAAAACATGATAATACATTAAAGGAATTTTTTTTTTTTCATGGTTACTCAGGTTCTTGAATTTAACTTGTTTTTTATGCACATACATCAAAGAACCTATTGTATACTGTAAAGAACATATAGTTCAAACTCAAAGAACACAATGATTTAGGATCAAACGCAAAAGGCATATTATGCTCGTATTCTTTATAAATGTCTATAATATTATTTTTTCGCCCATTTCTTTGAAATATACATAATATTCTTTCCGGGTGCACTATGCGGGTGTGCCATAAAAATTTCAAAACTGAGATAATTTGCTTCAAAAAAAACTTTTTAAGGCAACCTTAGTTTTTAAATAACTGAATATCAGGAGATTCATTATACTACCTCCGGTCCAAATTACTTGCAACTTTGGGGTATTATTTGTGAGATATAAAATATTTCAAATAAAGTTATTGCGAGTAATTTGGACCGGAGGTAGTATAAATCAATTGCTAAATTTCATGCAGCACAAATTCTTGGATATTACTCAATTTAGTGGTTGATAATTTGACATTCAGTGAATGAAGTTCCCAATCGAATATTGGTGAAGAATAAAACCTTTTTGTTGTGCTATGAAAAGTTGTCAAAGGGCAGAGGTGGTGGCTGTGCATGGTGTACAAGGGATGACTGGATGGTGGACTAGTCATAGACGCATGGTTTCACTGAAGTGTTAGA